CCTAGCCCCAAATATAATCCACTCTACAACCCTCATTGCATACTCCTACGGTAAAAATAATGCCCTAAAATATAATACTTTTAGACTATTCTCTCTCCCATAGATTTCAATGCCGTAAACATATTTTTATATGTAGTTGTTTTTGTTGTGCACTGTCAAGTCAGAACTGCCCTATAGCTGATCCTTCAGTGGGTTTTCGGGATAAATTGTCAACAGCTTCATCTCACTTGGATCCACAATTAACATCCTTGCTACCAGCAGTCAGGAAATAAGAAGATGCAATGGGAAAAATCTTCAGTTAGGGACCTCTCCAAATTTGGAGGAATAATTAGGTCAGTTTGAGGAACAAGGTGCTTCTGATTCAGGTCATAGTTTTTTTCTGATTACTTGCTATACATCTGAGAGCTGGACAATAAATCAGGATGACAAAAAACAATTGACGTCTTTGAGCTGTAGTTTTGGTGAAGAGTACTGGACATCCCATGGACCGCCAAGAAAACAGAAATGTCTTGGAGAAAGTGCAGCCAGAGTGCTCTTTGGATGTAAGAATGATGAGGCTTAGCCTCACATATTTTAGGCATGCTGCTAGGAGGGACTGTTCCCTGGAGAAGGATTTGATTCCAGAAAGGATGGAGGGTCAGTGAAGGAGAGGAGGACCTTCAACCAGGTGTGTGTCAAGTAGTGTGAGGATGGTGCCGGATAGAACAGGGATCAGTTCTGTTGTTCATAGGATGGTTATGAGTAGCACTCGACTCAACGGCACCCAACAACTACAACAACACAATAAACTGGAACTTAAAACTCAAGCTTTCAATGTAACTTTAAGATCATGAATATACAGACGTGGCATTAAAAAAAGTAGTAAAGAAAACTTTCCATATAAGTGTAAATTGATTGCTTATCACTACCACTATTTGTTAGATACAGCTTTTATTCCATTAATTGCTAAAAAATTTACAATTATTAAAAATACCTGTAATATATTCATTTTCATAATAATAGGCAATATTTCTCCATAAAATCATATCACTTAAATCAGGCAGACCAGTGAAATTCAATTTCCAATTGTTAACTTCTAATTGTTTTAGGGTGAAAAATTCACATCTCTTTAGCTGGGAAAAAAAATATAAGACAAAGAATAGTTAGTGACATTTTAAAAAATAGTAAATATTCCCAAAGTTATTGTTGTTGTTATCTGCCGTCAAGTTGCTTGCGACTCATAGTGACCCTATGTACAACAGCCCTAAACTCCACTCTGTCCTGCGCCAATCGCACTGTCTCTGACACTCCCATCCAAATTATCCCAGTCACTGAATCAATCCACCTCATAGAGAGCCTTACTCTCCTGCGCCGTCCTTCCACCCTCCCAAGCATGATGTCCTTCTCCAAGGACCTGTCTCTCCTCACAACATGTCCAAAGTATGTTAGACGGAGAATCAGAATCCTGGCCTCCAAGGAACTACCCAGTTTAACCCTTTCCAGGACAAATCTGTTTGTTTTCCTAGCAGTCCATGGTATTCTCAATACTCTTCTCCAGCACCCCAGCTCAAAGGCATCAGTTCTCCTTCTATTCTCCTTGGTCATTGTCCAACTCTCTGATGCATAACAAGTGATTGCGAAGACTATGGCCTGTATCAGATGCACCTTAGTCTCCAGAGAGACACCATTGCTCTTGAGTACTTTGGAGAGGTCCCTAACAGCAGACTTTCCCATGGCAATGTGCCTTTTAATTTCCTGGCTGCTGGTGCCAAGACTGTTGACTGTGGAGCCAAGCAAGCTAAAGCTGTGTACAATCTCAATCTCTTCACCATCCATCCTGATGCTGCCAATTGGTCCAGTGGTGAGAATCTTTGTCTTCTTGACATTGAGCCTCAATCCATATTGTAGGCTGCAGTCTTTGACACTCTGCAGCAGATGCTTCAGGTCTTCTTCAGTTTCAGCAAGCAGGGTTGTGTCATCCGCATAATGCAGATTGTTGATAAATCGTCCACCGATCTTGACCCCACATTTCTCCTCATAGAGCCCAGCCTCCTGGATAATCTGTTCTGCATATAGGTTGAAAAGGTATGGAGATAGGATGCATGGCGTATGCCCTTCCCAAATTTGAACCATGCAGTGTTCCCTTGCTCTGTTCTGACAACTGCCTCCTGGTCCAAGTAAAAGTTTCACATTAGAACGATCAAGTGTTCTGGGATTCCCATTCTTCTCAGAGTCAGCTATAGTTTGTTATGATCTACATAGTCAAATGCATTTGCATAGTCAATGAAACACAGATAGACATTCCTCTGGTATTCCCTGCTTTCAGCCAAGATCCATCTAACATCATCTACAATATCCCTAGTACCACGACCCCTTCTAAACCCACTCTGGACTTCTGGTAGTTCTCTGTTGATGTGCTGATCCAGTCTTTTTTGGATAATCTTCAGTAAAATCTTGCTTGCATGTGAAATCAGTGAGATTGTTCTGTAGTTTCCACATTCTGTTGGGTCACCTTTCTTTGGGATAGGAACAAATATCGATCTCTTCCAGTCAGTTGACCAGGTATGATTTATTTTAACATTTTTCAATATATTCTATAGTTTATTTTAAAAGGAACTACCAAAAATATCAAGAAAATAGTACCTTGGCCCTGACAAAATATGTAACTGTATTCATGTGACTTTTCTTCTCTCATTTTTTCCTGTTCAATTGCAAATCAATAAAGTTAATGATCTTAAGGTCATTTACCAATATAGTATCTTTCAGTGATAAAGCTAAATGATTGGATTTTCCCCCTTTCATATGAATTTTCATATAATTCATTTACATTGTATTTCATTCACATGTACTGTGTTTTATATAATACCTCATTTATATTGTTTCATAAAATCATTTATATACATTGCGTTTCATATAACAAATTACCATTGATGGATTCCTATTATTATGTCATCTTGTTAAGTCTCCCTTGAATCACATCACATTCATTAACTAAACACAGAAGTTTTTATTGACTCAAAATTATAAAAGTAATACATGAAAGTAGCTTTTAATTGTTATCTCCACTATGATTCAATTAACCAATATTTTTTGAGTTAGTACCTAACTATGAGTTGCCCATGACTCGATGGCACTTAACAACAACAATAGCACAGAGAGAGATCAGTTGGCCTAGTGGACAGATAGTGATACTTCCAAGCTAAAGGTGGGTGATTTTAATCCGCAGCCCACAGGTCTATTTTTAATTGTTTTTGTACAAGTTAATTGTATTCTTCTAGGTTGTATAGCCCTGGTCTGTGTGTTGCTGTACAGAGGTAACTCGTGGTTGCTGTGAAGCTGAACACTGTGTGACACTGATGTGTCAAATGCGATAATGGTTACCCATGGTGGTCAGTGTTTGGTGGCACTCCCCAATTAAAACAAGCTTGGAAGCAGGAGTGGCATCCACTTCCGAAACAGCTTGTCTCCAGAAACCCTATGAACCTGGAGAGAGGATGAAAGTCACTCACACAAGTGTCCAGGTCTTTTGTTCATAGGGTCTCTATGAGTTGCCTACCATGCAACAGCACTTAACAACAACAGTACCAAATAAAGCACAATCACATATCAAAGGAGATTTATTATATCCACTGACATCGAGTCTTTTTCAGCTCATCAAGACTCTCCATGCCGAGTTTATGGGAGGGAACTTCTCATCTTTCTCTCACAGAGCAGCTGGCGGATTCAAACTGTGGTCCCCTCAGCAGTCCATAAGGAGTGTAAAGGGTTATAGCTGGGTTAGTTTGCAATTCAGTGGTTCACAACAACAAAAACCCTCTGGATGGTCAGTTAAGGCTAGATTTTTATTTTATCCTATATATATAGTGCAAAAATGAAAAATAATTCAATGTAAGCAGCCTTGAGAAAACTTATTATTATAATAATGTAGATTAAGTATTGCCAAATTAACAAAAACGCACTACTATTGAGTCAATTCTAACTCATAATGATCCTATCAAGGCAGAGTAGAATTACTAGACAGTGTTTGCATAGATATACAGCTATGTGCTGTGGATAGGTTCAAACCATTGAATTTTTGGTTACCAGCTAAATGTACTAATCACTATACCACCAGAACATTTTCATTTTTTTTCATACTCAAAATCGTAAATAAAAGTATGAAATTTCCACAGACTTTTCAAAAACACAAATCCTAAAAAACATCTTTTTAGCTTATTAAAGTTATGCAATAACTAACAAATACTGTTTCTCTCTGTTGTCTATTCAAGTTAATAATCAAGTATAAATGTGTATTGGTAGGAATTGTTTCTTCATTACTTAAACATACACATATCAATACTGAAATTTCATTAATTAAACATACACATATCAATACTGAAATTTCTTTTTGCAGAAATTGTAAGATTATTCATAATTTATTGGAAAACAAATTGTTTTATAAATAGGAGTTTAAAGATCTTAGTGAGCTCTGATGGTCTGGTGATGAGAAACTGTGCTGTAACCCTAATGCGATGCTGTTAGTATTCACCAGCTACTCCATGGTAGGATGGGCAAGTTCCTCCCTTGGGGATATTGTCTCTGAAAACTCAGTGAAGGCTCAGCTATGAGTTGGCCCTGACTTGACAGTAAACAATGACAGTGTTGAATATTAGTATTCCAGTAACATAAATTGCTTGGTAATAGAAATTTTTATGTTTAATTCTAAATAAATAAATACAAAGAATTATCTTTTCTGATTTCTTGTTGAATTGCTTTATTTAATTTATTAAATGCTTATGAATTGCAATATGGTTCACCTACCATTTTCTGAAATGGTGACAGTGTTCTGTGCCAGGTATGAGTGATTATTCTACCCTTAGCTCTTTGAGACAGGGGTAAATGCTGCAGGAAAATCACACTGAGGCAGTACATTCTGCAAAAGTCTTCTGCTTCATTCAGTGTAAGTGCTTCCTCAATGTCCTAGAAAACCATGGTTTAGAAAAGCATCAACTCACATTTGTCTTATAAAAATTCACATATGTAGATGCAGTATCTTAAAAGACTCTACTTTCTTATGTCTAGATTTACTTTTTCTTGGAATGATTTTATTTCAAAAAAGATAACAAGCACAATATTGATATATCTAAATGATGGCAGAGTTTGGATTCAAAGTAGACATTTTTAGCTCTTTTCTAGGTAAGCATTAACAATCGTATAACCATGGTACATGTTTCATAATATAGTCATAGCATTCAATGCACCTTAAATATCCACAGTGTAAAATAGTAACAGATGATCTCCTATTTTGAAAAATGACATTTTGTTAGTTGCCATCCAGCCGATTCTGACTCATGGTGATGTCATTTGGTCAGAATAGAACTGTTCACTGTGACCCTTAACAAACAGATCCCAAAACATGTCTTCTCTGTAGTGTCTATTGATTTACAATATTGAGAAAAACAATCTATAAAGGACTCTTAGGCTTCCTGTGGCACCTTTAGTCCAGTCAGGGAGACTACGACTGAACATCGAGTGTGAGATGTATGCTGAGATAGTGCAATGTAGTGGAACAAGAAGAGACTTGTGTTTGTAGGCCATGATTCACTTATTTGGTCTTATTCAACTGTAAACTGGAATTTAATAATAATAATAATAATTCTTGCCCTACAAAATTATTGTAAAGATTAATGACAATGTGGGTAGCATATCCAGCACCCATATGACAAAGATACTGTTCTGAATAGTAATATCACTATCCACTTCTCTTATTCAATGTTGTGTCTGTAATTTATACATCTGTAATATTTTAGGAATTGAAAGGTTGCTTATTAAACAAAATAGTTAATGTAATGAGACTAAAACATGTAATTTAACAATCTTTCTTCATAGCAATTTCCTTGGAAAAGCTCACTTTAAAGAGACAAATTATTCTTCACTATTCCTATTTCCTAAAAAAAAGAATTAATTTCTTTATAAGTTTATTTTTCAATTCAGATTTCACACACACACACGCGCACACACACACTTTCTTCATTGCCCTTATATTTCATACAAATTATTCCCATATGTTGTGTTTTATAAAATAAATCACCATTGGACTGTGACAACCATTACCCATCTCTTCAGGTCCTTGTTGGATTTTTCCCATTTCCTT